CAAATATGAAATATTAATTTATTACCTAAAAATAATCACTTACAGAAATTTTAAACTTTGTATGCTATAAACTGTGCAAGATTTTGAGATCTTTAATATATATTTCAAATAAGACAAATAGCTGGTAAAATGAGAAACAAATTTGACATTCAGATATCTACTTATGGACATTTTCAGTCATATGCAAATTTATTAATGCTTCACTAAAACAGCAACATAGACTGTGGGAAGAATCTTAGGGAATATATATAAATGTCTATGTTTTTCATCTATGTATCTACCTATATATGTTTATTTAGAGGTGTTGGGCATTGAACCCAGGGTTTTGAGTGTGCTATACTTTTTCTCTATCCTGGAATAAAAGCCACAACCTAGAATAATTTAAGTGACAGTGACCTAAATAAGGGACTCCAATTAAATAATATTCCTGAATATTGATTACATTTAGTTTGTCGTGTCAATTAGGGGTAATACATAGACATTCACTCAATATTATGTATACTAATGAATGAACAAATATATTTATTTTCATACAAGTTTGTATATCAAGTATTATAGTATTACACAGCCTTAGTAAACTGCAAATTTATGATAAAAATTAATGTTTGGAGATGATGTTTGAAAGAAAATAAATGTTACATTATATTTGTCTATGTGAGTTTTCTAATTAACTTAGATACTAGATCTATATAGATAGGTTTAAAACTATAGAATAGTATATGCTATATGAAAACAATCCATGTTGTAGCAACCTATCATTTTTTAAAAATATCCAGTAAATATATCAAATATAGAAAAATGCAATTGTTATTCAGTTAGACACTGCAGTGATCACCTTGCTTGAAATGGACTCCCCATATGAGTAATTTTCAGCGATTAAATAGATTATTACGGGAGGGATATCAGCTTAACAACAATCTGTCTTCAATAATCAAGTAAATTTTTTTAGAATGAGAAAAATATCATCCAGGGAGATGAATCCTATGCTTTTGGCAGTTTGAGAACTACAAATGAGAGATTGGTGATTGTAAGAAAGGAAAAGATCCCCCATAACAAATTGTCCCCCAGTGAAAAATTGAGGTATTTGCTACATTCGATTTGACTAGGAGAAGCTGGTCTGCTGGTCTTGACATCTGCTGTCTTTCTGAGCTTATTATGGCTCCAGATGGCAACATCAAACTGTTCTCCAGTGTCTCACTTCTGAAGACTAACAATGCTGCACTTCTTGAACAGTGTGCTTCCACTTTTCCCAATTTTACTTTGCTGAATAAAATACTTTATCAATCAGATTTAATGGCATGGATATCTACAGGGATATAGATATAATATTGTGATTTATGTACTTGATTTTAGAAAACAGCTTTAGTTCAAATCACTGAAAATTTTGCTAAAAATAGAATAAAATTTTAAATAACAAAAGAAGCTCCTGCAAAATGTAAAGGTATTAAGAGATATCCCACACAAATATAAACATATTGTGTCATTTTCCTTATAAAAGTGAGTCCATGTGATTAAAGTATTAGATATAATAAGTTAAGCAGCATTTTCCAATTATTTACAATGATTAGTTAGTAATTGGTATAAAAAGATTATGGAATACAGTTCATGCATGGACACAGAAGGTGATCATAGGAAGGTGAAGAATGAAAAATGTTACTGGTAAGGTACAAGTACCTCAATCAGCTTATTGATGACACTAGTTAGGACACAATGAAAGTGCCATTTCAGTTGGATGAGAATTAATACACATAAGTACAAGTAAAAGAAATCTATGCCAAATGCTCCTATCAGCATTACATGTTTATCAATAAGCTAGATCATGTTTTAACAATATATATATATAATATTTTAATGCAATAATAAATTCAATTTACTGGTTTTGAATAAATTGAGGCCTCTTATAGTAAATACCCCAAATGTTACACTTCATGCTTAGGATTACTTTGAAAATCTGG